GACCGTTGCAGTCTAAACACCTTCTGATCCCCAGAGAGAGAGAAGGGAATTGCGAAACTTCCCCAGAGCTGAAGTCACTTGCCTAGCACAGGCACTAAACCTCTACTGCTACCCCAGAGAGAGAGAGCACTTGCCTAGCACAGGCACTAAACCTCTACTGCTACCCAGAGAGAAAGCATTTTCCCCAACAGGTTAACCAGTAGACCCACAACATGAACTCCAATCCAGCCTTCCCAGCGTTCAAGCCGGATGAGGAGAAGTGGGAATCATACAAGAATCGGTTTAATCATTACATCGACGCCATCGGATTGGCTGATGCAGGGGAACACCGAAAGAAAGCATATTTCCTGACCTACTGTGGAGCCATCGTCTTCGATACAGCCACAGCTCTTGTGGCTCCACGTGAGTTAAAGAATGTCTCCTGGACAGAACTGTTAGAAATCCTTACTAACCACTATTCTCCTAGACCTTCACAGATTGCCAGACGCTTCACCTTCAGAATGAGGAAGCAGGGGGACAAAGAGAGCATCAATCAGTACATGGCTGCTCTCAGGACTGCAGCACTCCATTGTGGGTTTGGCAGCTATCTTGATGACATGCTCCTAGACCAGCTGGTCTGTGGGGTCAAGGACCTGCACCTACAAAGACGGCTGCTCGCCAAAAAAGACCTTAACCTCGCTCAAGCCATCGAGGTAGCCCTGGCAGAGGAGCTGGCATCTCATTCAGCCACCGAGATCCAAGGTCCTGTCACCAAGCAAACAGCAGTTCCCGTCCACTCAGAAGAGGTGGTCAACGAGGAAGACCCAAGTGACGAGGCCGACATTCACCGCCTCACAAACGCCAGGCGCCCGCAGGCAGGAACCAGACAAGATAACACCGGGCCATCCAAGCACATCACCCTGTGCCTTTCCTGTGGTGGACCTCACCTGAGGACCACATGCAAATTCAAAGGAGCCACTTGCAACAACTGCCATAAGAAGGGGCACATTGCAAGAGTATGCCAAGCCTCACACAACGTAGCACAAAGGGCATCTTCATTCGCACATGCCGGGCCCCAAAGGCAAGTATTAAACTGTCGCACACACCTCCGCGCTAATCACACTTGCTATTCTATTAGTAAAATCTCTCTTTCCGTCTTATTAGAA